ATAAGTACAACAGAGGTGCTAGCTACACATGAAGACCACCCGGGTATAAGTTGTGATAAAGGTCTGCAAGATGCTTATCCAATTTTATCAGGACCACTCAATGATAATACCGTACAGTCCGGTCTCTTCGTCAAACCATGTCAAACTATTGAGCCTAGGGTATGGCAAACTGTCAAACCCTAATAGCTTGATTAGTGTTTATTGATATTAAACTCATAACCTATAAGATCAAACTGACACTCAGTTTATCTTATTCACCTTGGCCAAGGATTTCCAGGCTATAGTTATATCAAACAATCTTATGACATCAACCCCTATACTGGGAGAGACGAATCCCTTCTTGGCATCTCAATATCTACTTATGTCTCAGGATGTACCCAACAAGAACCGTTATGCACAATTCAATAAGAACTGTGGTTAGGTAAAAGTCTAAATACATCTTTACTGACATATAAGATATTGCACTCATGCCTCAGGTCAAGAGACTACTATGTACTATATCACTTGAGAACTTCTATTTGACAGTTAAGTATATTACCAACTAGATGTTCTCGGCGAGTCGTTCAGTCAACTCATTCACTAATGAGTCACCTGTATACTGTATCTTGATGTCTCACATCAATGATCTAAGAGATTGATCATCTCCTTTAAAATGAGAAATAAAGCATACACTAGTCTAAACCAAAGTGATGATGTCCTATCTCAACACTTCATCAACTAGGAACATTTTAGAATATACGTTACCGACTAACCAGATCTCTTCATTTACGATCACTATCCGAAATGTCTGATAGTCTAGTATTTATTCTAAGGACATTATCTGTATATTTAGAACATCAGATAAATCTGACCAAAATAGCATACTATCATTTTGAACAAGGATGTTATATACATATAGGTCCTGTTACAATATACAATAATTGCCTGCAGGGCACCTATATCTAACAATATCATCATCCAATGTAGAATGTGGAGAACGGTTCACAATATAAAAAGCCATAGCCACCGCTTCTGCCCACCATTCCTTGCCCAATCTAGCATAAGATCGCATACTCATTGTTTTCTCCCGTAATGTTCAGTTCAGTCTCTCCGCGACCCCATTCTGTTTTGGTGTTGACCTGACTGTCCAGTGTCAAACAATACCCTCATGATCACATTACTCCTTGAAGGTACCATCTGTGTATTCTGTACCGTTGTCAGATCTCAGTGTCTTTAATTTCTTCCCTGTCTTGTTTTCAACCATTTCCTTTCACTTCTTGAATGTCTCGAACACCTTATTCTTATGCTTTAGAAAATAAATCCAAGCATACCTCGAATAATCATCTATGAATGAGATGAAATATCTAGAACGCCCTTTGGAAGTTGTTTGAGCCGGACCCCAAACGTCCGTGTGCACATAATCTAGTATCCCCCTGCTCTTAAACTTGCTTCTCATAAACTAAAACCTATGCGCCTTTCCGTACACACAATCCTTATAAAAATCCATGCAATGTTTCTTCAGGTTCTTAAGCAGACCCTCCTTACCAAGCAGAACTAGACCCTTCTTTGACATGTACCCAATCCGTCTATGTCATAACCGTGTGTGCTCACATGGGTCTCCACCACTTTCTTCATTTCCAACCGCTGCATCTCCCATCACCGTCGTACCTGAGAGAGTATGTAAATTATCGTGACGAACATCCTTCATCGCTATAAGGAAACCCCGAACAACCTTCTTCACTCCGTTCTCTATAATAATCCTACAACCATCGGAGTCCAATGCACCAACTGAGATAAGATTCTTCCGCAAGTCGGGAACGTGCCTCACATCCGTCAAGATTCGGATCACTCCATCATGCATCTTGATCTTGATATTACCTAGCCCCATTATTTTACAAGCATGGTTGTTCCCCATCAATACGGTTCCACCATCAATGCTTATGTAGGTAGTAAACCACTTCCTATTTGGGCATATATGGTAAGAGCAACCTGAATCAAGAATCCACTTCCTGGAGATATCCTCGCCACTCGTAACGACATAGCATTCCTTCTCGCGTCTTTCCTTTGAAACATAGCTCGCTTCTTCCTTGCATTCTCCCCTCTCAGTCTTGTTGTTGTTCTTCTTCCCACCTATTCTCTTATTTGGACAATCAACCTTGAAATGCCTAACTTCACTGTATTTGAAACATGCTCTTCCAGCAAGAGGTCTCAATTTAGATCTAGATTTTTCTCCCTTACCTTTTCCTCACTCATTGCTCATTCCTCTAGCAAACAATCCATTGCTTGTTCTTTTCTACCACCAGTAGTCATGTCACTGGTTGTAATTTTTCGAAAGTCATCTGCTAGAAGCGTTATTCTAGTCTTATCCATCGTCAAATTATCTCCCACAAGCATTAGTGCTTGCACTAGGTTCTCATAAGACTTCGGCAGAGATAAAAGTAATAGAAGCGCCTGATCCTCGTCTTCAATTGTCACGTTTATGTTCTTTAAGTCTGATATGATCCTATCAAACTTGTTGATGTATTCCTGGATTGATGAACCCTCCTCCATCTTGCAAGTATATAATTTGGATTTCAAATAGATCAGGTTCGTTAGACTCTTCGTCATGAAGGTGCTTTTTAACTTCGACCACACGCCCGCAGCCGTTTTCTCTCCATTTACTAAGAAAGCTACATCCCTTTCAAGACAAAGGATAATCGACACCCTTGCTTCTAGATCCAGCTCCTCCCAATTCTCATCAGACATATACTTGTGCTTCTTCTCTTTTGTAGCCTAAGCCTTGTGCAATTTTTGTAAAATCAACGAGTTTTTCATCTGCATCCTCCAATAGGAAAAATCATTCTTCCCATTGAACTTTTCGATCTCGTACTTTCTAACTTTAACCGCTTTGCTAGTTGGTGCCATCCTCCGCTTGTATTAATAAATTCTCTTCTCTTAAGAAATTGCCGACCACCACCTCAAACCAGAAGCTACACCACTTCCAATCTGAATAATAGTTCTAATACCAATTGTTAGGGGCAGAGACACACACTCACGCCGCAGAAGTGATATAACCCAAGAGAAAGCCCTGCTTTTGTTATCACAAAAACTCAAGTCAACCTCTATATTCTCGTTTCACTTAGAAAACAAGAACAAAAAGTAAAATATCTCAACAAAGTGAAATATACACTCTTCCTCTCATTAGTTCTAAGGACTGACTTGTCGAGGGAATCTACAAGCAATAGTCAACACCCAGAAAACAATAAAGATACAAGATTTACGTGGTTCGACAAACTTACTTACGTCCACGGGGAAGGGGGAGGAGAGATTCTACTATGAATGAGAACACCAATGACTTGTACAACCCACAAGCACGTCCCAAAGAAGAAGCTTTGATTTTTACCCAAAAAATTGACATTTCTCTTGTAAAATCCCTCCAAGCTCTCTCTTATTCTCTCCTCAAGATCTCAGATCTAGATCTCTTTATCTGCCGCTTAAACCCTCTATTTCTTCTCTTAACAGCTGACTAACCCTCTGTCAATTAAACCCTTGGAATCGTCAGGTATTTATATGCAAACAGAAAACCTGAAACCTGTCACGCGTGGGCCTGTTCTCGATCTGCTCGCGTGGGCCTTGGGCGTGCGAGACAAAAAAAGGTGCCTTGCTGTACATGTGCCTCGGGTGGACTCGAGACACACCTCAGCCGTTCACACACTCTCTCTATTACATATTCTCTCTACTCTCTTCTTCTTAGTTTTTCCTCCAACAATAGAAAAATATGTATAGAGAAACCAAAACTCTATCTCTATCATAACTTCCTAATTAGAATAGGATTCAAATTCCTAATCATGATGGAATTCAAACTCCTAATCATGATAGATCTATAACTCTATCTAATTCTCATGAAGTTCTACAAAGAATCAAAGACGTAATCCCAATAGATGTATTGTGTGAGAACTCACTTTTTATACGTGTGTGGTAAATATTTCCATGCGGAAAGCATGACAGAGCTGTAATGAAGAGTATGAAGACTTTTGTTAATGCATGAAATAACTACTGATTCGGAGCTTCTCCACTATTAAAAAATAATGAAATAATCATTACATTATCATAATTATTGATCATCTAGTGGACATTTGTATTTTTTTGAGTGTAAATTATGAATGAGTATAATATATGAGGGTATAGTGAGTATCAGACTTTGAAGAATCACACACCCATTAAATATAAATGGTTAAAATCAAAAGCAGTGGTCTCTCATATATTTTTTATTATTATAATGGAGCAGATCCAAATCCAATAACACTACTTTTTATTGAGAAAAAGACAGTCATGGTTACGGACATTTGGTATATTATCATTTGATTTGAGTTTTGCAACGTGATTACGCAATTGTGTAAGGCATACATATATCTAATTTGGTTTGTAGCATAGTCAAACGAGAAGTAAAAGAATAAAATAAAAAAATTGATAATACTTCAAATATGTTCCAAATTATTTCTATTTATCCTTCCGTTGAAATACATATCCTATTAGAACTCTTCACAACTCTCCGCATGCGAGCCTAGAGTTCTAACCACTACGGGAACTGTAAAATCTTTAATCTTCAATGATTTTTTTTGTAAAATATGATTTTTGTAAAATAATGAAAATGTATAATACATCAAATATCTTCCAAATTATCTCTATTTGCCCTTCCGTTGTCATATCTATACCTAGTAATTGTCATCATGTTCATGTAAATTCTTCCAACTTATTCTCATACATAAGTAAATGAAATTCATGCTGTTACAATGGCTCAAACCGTAGGACCATTTCATCTCACATACCTAAGATAGAGTGAAGGATTAATAGCGTCTTTCTAATTTGTTTTAGTAGTTAATGCTACGCCCTTTTCTCCAAATAAAAAAAAAAGTTTTAGTAAAATACTTAATTTAAAGTCCTCCATCTACTTTCCTTTATAACTAAAGGAAAACCTTAAAGTGAACAGTAAACTTTTTCATTATCCACGTATTAAACAATTCCCCACCACTTCCCCACAACCGTTTGAGAACCGCCCCATCCCCACCTCATACCGCCCCACGTCTGAGAGCCATTAATAAAGGAAACCCTCATCCTCTTCGATCGCCCCCAAATTCCAAAAAGAGAGCGAGAGAAGATCGCAAACACTGATGAAAATATGTACCGCAGCGCCGCCCGCCAACTCCTCCAATCCGCCACCGCTGGCGGCATCTGCGACCGGTCCCGCCCTCTCTCGACCGTCGACGTGGCGCCGGCACCGGTGGAGGACTCGACATTCATCAAGTCGTGGAAGAAGGCCGCTCCCCACATCGACCCCCCTAAATCGCCGCTCGACTTCATGAAGGCTCGGTACCCGACGCCTGCTTCGATCCCTTCAAAGCTCAAGGTCAACTTTGTTTTTCCCTACCGATCTGAGATCTCCAGTAAAGAGGTTTACTTTTGCTTAGATTTTGTAGTTAGGGTTTTTGTTTGATTGAATTTTGTTAATAGATATTTGATGACTGCGCGTTGGATTATAGATAGATTGAATTATAAAATAGGGATTTTTATGAGTGATTGCTGGGTGTTTTAAGGATCATTTATTTTATTAAAAATCGTTCAGTTGAATTAGGTGTTGGGGCTTCTTAACTAGGTAGGGGCTTCTTAACTAGGTAGAGTTTTGCTGGTGAAACGTTTGGTGCATCCTAATCATTTCATTTTATGTCCATTTTTTAGAATTTTCTATTGATTTGCATTATATACTAATTTTTTGCATCATTTTTCCCAGTATAAATAGGGGACATTGTGTCATTGTGCCTTTTTAGAGTGGAACTCAATATTTGCAAGGATTTACAGACTTTTGATGCCATATTTATAGTTAAGTAAGTCACGTAAAGGGGTAATTTTTCTTGGCAACCAAGTAATTGGGTTGGATTGGACACAATATACTTTTGTTCTTTAGTGTAATTTAAACGCATGAAACTACGGAGGTTTTTGTTCTTTAGATCTTCAGTAACTAATGTTTCTGATGCAGTTGGCTTGGTTAGTTTTGCTATATATTAGGCTTAATTACAGAAAATCCCCATGGACTTTTGGGGAGTTACAGTAAGCTTCATCAACTTTTCTTATTACACTGATTCCCGATCTTAAGGAGTTGTTGTACATAAACCCATGAATTGTCTTATTTCACATGAAAACTTCTCATTTAATCTCTAAATTGGCACCATCAATTCTAATATCTCATGTGTCAAGCACCATTAATTCTAATATCTCATTGGCAAACACGTTTAAGAACAAAAAAAAAAGATGAAAATAATTCCTTAGTCCCAAAGCATTACCTGTTTTCCATGCACATAATGACAAAAATGATGTGATAATTAGTTAAGAAAAGATTTTGTCATCGTTTGTGTGCATTTTCGTCAAAGTTTGCTTTGTGCCATTATGTGCATTTGGCCAATCATAATTAGTTCTTTAAGATTATTGCAATTGTACTTATCTGCACAACAAGTTGATGCTGTCATTTTTTACAAAAACAGTGGTGCGATAATTTTTTGAAGATTTATCCTTTTCATTGTCGAACCATTTGGGTTATTTGTTATACTGTTCCTTCTTTCTATAGCTTTTTTTTAAAAATTTAACATTGTTAAACATCTAAAGAAGTTTAGACATGACTCTTTGGGTTCCTCTCTAGCATCATGAATATCTACATGTTTTTGTAGAATGATTTTATGTCAAAGACCGTAAAAGAATAAACACAAAAAGACAAAAAAAAATAGAAGTCGTGCTTTGCACGAATCTAAATACTTTACAAGGATTTTGCTGGAATTGTGAATGACCTGAAAGTATTATGGATTGAAGATAAGCTAACATGAATTATTTCAATATACGCATTCACATGGTTACTACTTGCACGCCATACTTTGACTTCAATGCAAGATGATACTGATGTTGGCAAGATTTTGAGATGGCATGATAAGGTTAGATTTTTATGTGTATAACTGTGTTCTTATCCCCAAAGGGATAAAATCATTGTTGTAGTTGTTAAATATAATTGCAATAGATTTGATCTTTTTTATCTGTATATGTAAAACATTTGATGTTTTATTCAAAAAATTCTACATGTTTACAGGAGCATATATCAGATCATATATCACAATTGTCAGGTTAAATGCCAGGTTAAATGCCAGGTTAAATAATGATTAAGAGATCCATAATGTTGAACTTCACAACTATATACATTACTTGAAGGGATAAGCAAGAGATTTAACTATCTGTGTTAAGAGTTTTAATTATCTATGTTTCTATGTTTAAATATGGACTTCAAGTATATGATGAATTGCAAACAAATACCTATCTGCATATCCTCATTGGTTATATATGATGGACTTCAAATATGTTTAAGATGAATTTATCATGACAAAACAATATCCTCATTGGTTATATATGATGGACTTCAAAGATAAATTTATCGTGACAAAACAAAAAATGAGATGAAGAAAAATTGCGTACAAAAATAATTTGTAATTTGATGAATGCTATTGGCATTGTACTTTATGCTAAAAGGTACAATTTATCTGCCTATCTGCAGCTATTATTAAAGTAAAAAATTACAAAATTATATATCAGTATATAGATCTTTCAGTACACTTAAATATGCATCAAACGACATGTTAAGTGGATATATGGTGCAAAAGTTATAGCAGTTTTCCTAATGACGCGTAGAAATTTCTGCGCATAATATTCAACTTTACAGGCTACTGTTTAGTTATAAATATTTTTCAATATAATCCTAAATCACATATAACTTTTTTTAGATATTATTGAAACTTTAATACATGAAGATTACAATTGATAACAATCCATATAGGAAGTGAAATTTTATGAAGTATGTAGCAAAAGTAAGTCAAAATATCAATTGTAAATAGTTTTGTTTTTTATAAGTAAGTTTGCCTCTTCGCAGTAATATTTGCCAGTCATAGGAGTGAGGGTCATCAACCTCCAAATACTTAATCCTGTAAATAGCACATGAAAACTAAAATAAATTTGAAAATGATCAATTGTCATAAAAACTAAGTGCAGTGCAAGAAAATAAGCTAAATTCTAATGTATAGAACCAAAAATGCCTCAGAAAAAGCAATTACATTGGTATTATGCTTTATTTAATAATGCCATAAGGGTGTTCTATTGCTCTTGATTATTACTAGAATTTTCAATTGTACCTTATAAAAAATGGCATAATCTGAGTTGAATAAAACTAATTGTTTTCACATGTATTTATTCTGCAGTGCAACATCGTGTTTTCAAAGTACTGATCAATATCTCAGACCGAGAGGAGTTCATCATTGTAAGTCTATATTTTAAAATAAAGTTCTCTCGAGATTGTTGTCCTTTTTTATTTGTTGCTGCCATTAAGGAACAATGATCTTACTCGCAAAATTTTTCGAGTATCAAGGAATGTATTCCAGTCACCTGCTGCATTGCTTAGATGTAGAAATTACTTTGTGAGTACAATAATTCTTGAACAGTTCTGTTGTAGTTCCCCCTCATCAAATCTGGTTCTGTAGATACATATTGGAACCGCCAGCAAGAAAAATTGAAGGCTATCTTGGATCTCTAGAGTGCCTAAATACAATTATGAGATGCTTAGCTATTACTGATGGAAAGTAGGATTGATTTTTTTCCCACCTGTTTATTAGCATACATCATTATGTACACGCTTCAATTCCCTCCTCTATGTTTGGTTCACCTGCAAAAAATTGAAGTAGATAAATGCAAATTGGAACCTACAGCAAGAAAAATGTAGGGTTATCTTCGATCCAAAGAATGGCCAAATATTTTGATAAGCCACATCGCTATTACTGATGAAACTAGGAGTTAATGTTTGATCCGCCAAAGTTTCTCTTTCGTAATTTTTTTATATACAAAGGCTGTTTGGTCATTCTTTTTGCAGCTGTTGCAAACTGATGAGTTTGGGCACCTAAAACAAGCTTATGACTTGCTATATGAAATCTTTTGCAGTAATAGTACAAGAATATATTTGTATTTAATCCTTAAATTTTTTTCATATATCTCAATTTATTTGCTAAAATAGAAATGTATAGTTATGTTATTGTGCTCACTGTACATGGTTGATTTTTATTTTTTTAACTTATTATATGCGACGTATATATGTTGCTGGTGATTATTGCAGATTGCAGCTTTGATTATTATTCTTAGCCATATGAGTACCCCCCACCTCAGGCGTACCCGCCGCCGCCTCAGCCCCACCTTCCGAAGCATACTTCTTCTGCATCGATGCATTGAGGCCGGGGCCGAGGTTAGATAGGAGGTATTCGCAGATTCCCAATAACTACTGATCCCTCAAACAAGTATATCCTCTGATTGCTCATAGGTATAGTTTTTGTTGTATTTATAAAGATATCATCAAATTTTATACTAACTTCGCACTTAATTCATGATAAATCATGTTAATTATAGTTTTATTGTAGGGATGAGCAAACTATGATCGGCCATTGTCGTCGAGAAAATCAAGGTGCAATCACATATTACAAAATCAATATGATATCTCTTGATCATTATTTATGACTCTTTTTTCTTTGTCCTTCTGAGTTAAGCTCAATTAAGTTGTTATAATGTCCACAAATTCCTATCTGTGTTAAGTTGTCATAATGTCCACAAGTATGTTTAAGATAAATTTATCGTGACAAAACAAAAAAATGAGATGAAGAAAAACTACACACCAAAAAAAAATTATAAGGATGCCGTGCTTAGCACGGGTTAAATACTAGTATTTCCTAACCAAAAGAGAAGGTCATGTCCCTATATCAATCTCTATGTCGCTTCTTTTTCTCTATTTTTTCATTTTTTTTAATATTTTGCCAGGAGTCGCCCAGGAGATTACACTTTAAAAAGAATTACGACACAATTTTAGTTACAATTGCTGTTGCTGATGAGAGAGACAAATCCAAGATAGAGGACTATGAGGGTCAAGGGTGGTTTGATTAATTCCTCTATAAGTTCTTGCCAATAACTATTGTTATACACACACGCACACACATGTGTGCACTCATATACATGCATCTATCCAAACTCTATAAAACTAGGCAATATTAGAATCTGGTCGAGTTTTAGAATTTTTTTGTAATGGGTAAAACCTGGTCTAGAAGTGAATCGATTTACTTGTGTTCATTTTTGAGTCTCTAAACTGATTTAGTTGTGGACCAAAGAGAGTTGGTCCATAACTAAACTAGTTCTTTCCAAAATCAGTTTTAAGGTTCTATCCATATTTCTCAAATCTAATATTTGTCACATTTGTTTTCCTATCGAGCCAACGATACTTAATGCGGTGGATATAGATATGAATATAATTTTCTAATGAAATCATAAATATATTTGGTATTTGAGTGCACTCAGACCATTTGCACTTCCAACTCTTGGTGGAAAGAATCCTACAAGTTAAGGAGGCTATATAGAAATACATACAGGAGGTGGAAGGAGAGCATGACAACCAACTATTGATTTTAATTAATCAGTACATTCAGTGCCTAAATCACTATAATCAAAGTATTATATCAATACAATCAGAACAGTATCAAATCGATCACCAACTTTAAAATATATGTTGAGACATACGTAAAGAATTCTCCTCGGTATCTGTTTTCATATATGCAGAGAATGCTCCATAGAATTTTGTTTTCCTACTCTCAATGCATGCAATTATGCAAAGCCAAAATTAAGGGATGTCATGGTGAATGTAGCTCAATGTGACAAGTATTCACTACCATGACTACTATAATGTACCTACAAGGCTACCTATGTGATCCCTATCAGTGAAGCCTCGCGAAATTATCAAAAGCTTCGGGTACAATTACAAAGCTTAAACTCTAAAAAGACAAAACTATGCTTGTTTCCACTTTGTTCAACACTTGCAACCTATAGGTTGTGAACTTATTATGCGTATCATATTTAGCTACGTCATTCTTAAACCATCTCTTAAATTTAGTTCCTCAAACAATTAGATCAAAACTTCGAAGGTATGATGAGGATCAAGGATTATACTTTTATATTAATTCTAATATGCCCCCGCAGGTCGAGCGTCCTTTTTTATGGGTCGAAACTTGGACTCACGTAACGGTATCAATTTTTAGAAAATCCATTTAATTCGTGGCCGGTGGGATTTGAACCTCGGTTGCTCTGATACCATCTTAAATTTAGTTCCTCTAACCATTACACCAAAACTCCGAAGTTATGGTGATGATCAGTGATTATAGTTTTATATTAATTCTAACCCCATCCTTGTGTGATTTTTGGACCACATTCGGTTTTGGACTGGCCCCATGAAGAATAAGCTAAAAGAGGATAAATTTTCTTTCTAATATTATATCTCATGGTTGAAAGTTGAGATCGAATTGGAACCTAGTTATCACGACCATATCTATCTCTCTCCTTTTCCTTTTTAAGAGTGGTTCTCGATATTTAGTACATGGATAAATTTTAACTGAAGAACACTTTTCAGAATGATTATGCACTACTACACACAAAAGCGAAGAGTTTGCTTACTTGAATTGCTATCAATGTTGACGAATCATCAAAAAACATCACAATTTTTGAGTCGTTAGAAAAGCGTACGCTATCATTACTCTTAATTTGTTAACAGTAAAGAAAACAACTCATGTTGCCACGGCGGATTATGGTTGCTACAATGATCAGATGGATGCACTCATGTAAAAAGCGTTGAGAGGTATCAATAATTTCTATATACTAAACCTCAATCTAAAGGCTTTAATGTGTAAAGGATGATAAAGGATCACATATGAATATCAATTTTAATTAATTGCAAATAGATGCAACACCGTACTACAACCCCACATAGTTATATGAAAAACACTACATGCACACCCTCTGCCACACCTCCAGTCACACCCCCTCTCCCTCTACAGTGCAGGGGGTCCCACCTGAGATTTTTAAAAAAATCTCAGGTGGGACCCCCTGCACTGTAGAGGGAGAGGGGGTGTGACCGGAGGTGTGGCAGAGGGTGTGCCTGTAGCGTCACCCTAGTTATATTTGTGCGGATAGCCCTTGAGGGAACTTATTAACTCTTTTAAGAGTGAAAAAATTCACTTAGGAGATCTATTCCTAGTACTTGGGCAGATAGCACAAGGAATGTATCCACACAAATAGAACCGCAAAAGGTCTGATTATAAATGGGCGATAATATTGGGATCCATCTGTAAGACTTCAATTAACCCCATTTTCATCTAGGGCTTCTTCAAAGTAAGTTTTATACATATATATGTAAAAAGTGACTGCTTCATTTATTTGACGTTGCCGGATTAGCCGTATGATGGAATGTATCATCCCATGATTTATTGAATCTCAAAGGGCACACTTTTGCCATTAGCAGTATAAAACTTGATATCAATCGTGCTAAAACAATAATCACGATGGCACATCGACATGACAGGCAGTTTAATTTAACAGGATCATAAAATATACGGGTCTTTGGGCTTTTTAATGTGGCTTAATTTTAAAAAACGCCCTCTCAACTATAGGGATTGTCTAGAAATCCTCTTAACTATTTTAACTCTAGTCAACCCTCTTCAACTATGGAAAACTTGTAGATACCGACCATCAACTTTCAAAATATGATTTATACCCCCTTAACTTTTTCACTTAACTCTCTAAACTAATATAATTAAAATCTAAAGGAAAAAATGACTTCGAATGACCATACTATCTCAAAGACAATAAAAATTCTACCATAGTGTTTCTTTTTAACTTTTTTTTGTGAAAAATAACTTTCATTTTATTTCCTCCTCTTCTTATTCCCCTGTCTTCTTTGCCCGGTTCACGTGCAAATGTAATTTCTTTCTTTCTTTTTTAAAACGCTAAACTTCTTTTATATTTTACTTATCCATTCTTGTAATGTTTTAAACAATTGAAACTTTTGAACATGACTGTCTCAAGCATTTTTGAGGTTCTAGGTAGAGAAAAATATTTGGGGCCTTAATATTAAAAAAAATTAAATATTAGTTTTTAAAAAATAGATTTAATATAAAATTTAATTTTCTGTCTTTTTGAGATGCAAAGTTACTAATTAAATTTTTATATTCAAGCTTTGATAATAAATCATTTTCAATTGATAAAATTGCCAAATATTTAATCTTTCTTGAGACATTGTTAAGCGTAAATAAGATTTTATTAATTTTAATTTTTAAAAACTTCTTTCTACTGAAGCTATACTAACAGGTATTATCAGTAGTATTCTATAAGCTATCCATGCATTTGGAAAAGAATTTAATTTTTTATAAGGTTTAGTATCTCAAGTGTTGTTTTTAATTCATGATTTATTATTTCTTTTAAAACTTTTAGTTCTGAAAATAAATCTAAACCATCAATATAATATAACATGTCATGTTTTAAAAAATTTTCAAGATGCAAACATTTTTCTTTTAGAAAATCATCACCAAGAAATTTTAATTTTTCTACATCATACAAAAAACCAAAATTATCTTCAAATAACTTAAACTGTTCAAACCTAATTTGAAGTGAAGAAATGACATGATCAACTATATAGTTGAAATAATTATTTTTAAAAGATTCTTCAAGTGAAAGTCTCACCTCATTAGTTTCATTCTCATCAAATTTTTTCTTTCTTCTAATTACACATTTTCCACAAAATTTTTGTTCTACATTCATTTCATTGGCAATCTCTTTAGCACAAATCATAGCAGATGTGAACCCATTTTCTCTATAGTCATTAAAAAATAAAACAAGACCTTTTAGCTAATCTAATGCAATGGCAATATTCATATCTTTATATTATAAAAGTTTACTAACAACGTTAACTTCAAACAATATATCATACTAAATAATCATACCTAATAAAAATTCAAAATTTTCAATCTTATATGTTGCGGAAGAAATTGCTTCACCTTTTATTTTAGGATCATCGCTAGCTTCTGCTAGTTGATATAAATCATCTCTTATTTGTGGAGCTTGATATTTTATTACTTTAACACTTTCAAGACGACTTTCAATTTGATAATACTTTAAAGTTTGATGATACTTTAAAGTCTAACACTGTTACCTGCATGAATATGATAAAAGAACAAACAAATATTAATTTTTATTTAGATTAATTAGAATGAGCATCTAGGAGAATAATTAGGCAAAATTAAAAACACCAGGTAAGGATTAAAATCTAATCAATTTAATTGAATAAAAGATATAAAAGAAAAAAAAACACAAAATACAGAACAAAACCGTGATATATATATATATATATATATATATATATATATATATATATATATATATGAGAGTAAGTTTTTTATAAGGGAGTTTTATACAAAAAATCCCATCAACACTGGTCGGAACAGTAACTCCGGCCAAACTTAAGGCCAATATGGCGCCGGAGTTAAAAATTTATACCAATCTGACAAAACTTAAAAAAAATATACCAACTTGTCACCAAGTCTCAAGAAATTATACCAATCTGGTCATTTTGCCCATTTTTATATGATAAAAGCATACACATAACCATATAAAAATTAAAAGAGTTCATGAAAATCATTTCTAAAGATTCTTGATTTTACTCAAAAAATTAAGTTGTTTTTAAAAATTATATATATATATATATATATATATATATAGGGTGAGGTTCTAATAAAAACCTCCTTAGCCTAAAAACTAAAAACCTATTTATTGTACTAAATGCCATTAAAGAGTACAATAAATGACATTATTATACTGAGTACAATAAATAGGGGCAACAAACAACCAATGAATCCAGATTCACTGGATTGAATCCAGATTCACTACAGCGAATCCAGTTTCACCTTGTTTTCGTCAAAAGTTGATTTTGTTATGGAATTCATTATATCTTTGATCGATTACAACAAATTCTAAAAAGATAGTCTTTTTATAAGACTTCTTTTACACAACAAAAGGAAAATTATAATTTTTTAGAAACAAACGCAGGATCGTTGTTTGGATCGCTGCTTGCGTGAGATCTTTGCCTGTGCCGGGGGTGCATTAACCCGTGGACCACCGAATCACAGATTCTGATTGAATCGTGAAGGTTTTGGGGATTCTTCCTTCGTTTATCGAAGTAGGAATTTAAAGTGAATATCTTATCAAAGTAAGACGACCACTCTTCTTAAGATCAAGTAAAAGCTCGAATCTCA